CCTTCTGACACACTTCCGGTGATGTCAGGGTGTGTGGCATATGCAAATAAGTTATGCTAATGAGCTCCTGCACCTCTTTTTCTACGAAATGACCCCTGCATAGAGTCCATCCTCCAAAGCATCCCTTTTCTCCAAGGAACCTGATCTCTGTAGTCTGGAAATGAGCTGCAGTTATGGGGGATCCCCAGTTCCCACCGGGAGGCTGGCACCCCCAGCCCAATCCGAGCCCTTCTTTTGTCACTTTTGGGCTTCCTTCTTCTCCACCTCTCTCCAGAGAAGCCTTACTTTGCTCCATCTCATTTCTCCATAAGCCCACAAATAAAATCTTCCCCACTGAAGTCCCAGATATTTATTTATTTTAGATTTATATCCCGCCTTGCCTGCACGTGCAGGCTCAAGGTGGTGTACATAGACTAAAATACGATAAAATACAATACATAAATACATAACAGTAAAATTCCGAACCGTAATATACATAAGTGCGATTAGCGCAGATGGCGTTTGCTGAAGTGGGCCAATATTGGTAGGCCGGTGAATAGAAACACTTTTATTCTCCCCCCCAGCTCCCCAAACACCCATCACATGCCATAACCTTCTCCTGTCCTATTTCTTCCGCCCAGATCCAGCACCCCCTTCTTCCTCTGCTTCCCCCCCCTTCAGCCTTCCAGCACTCCCCATTTAGCCATCCACAGGTAAGAAGCTGGACCTCAAATAAACAGTTGCTGGTGTGGCTACTTAGTGGTGAGGGAACTGCATTCTGTGCATGCCCAGAGGTATTCTCAGCTCCAAAATGGGGTACTGGAGCAACAAGGTAATTAAAGTAGGTTCCTCCAAGAGTTTTCCTTCGACATGAACGTTGACGGCATATGGGCAGCTAGCGTGGTATAATGGTTAGATTGTCAGATTAGGATTTGGGAGTTCAGGGTTAGAAATTGGCGATTGAATATTATTATATTGTTCTGACAACCTGTGTATCTCTGAATTCCTCATTTTCATTTATAAAAGACAGTATTCCAGCCCCTTCTGCTGTGGAGAGATGCCTTTCCCCTTATATCTCAGCAACAAAAAGAGCTAGTGACTTACTTTAAAAAAATGAAAACTGGAAGGTCAGAGATTCTGATTCTCAAATTGTTTTAACAGTACAATGATATTAAATTGATTTTTAGAACATCTTCCTGGAGGCAGAGAAAAAAGTGGTTAGTGCAAAGACAGGGACAGGGGAAATGGCTGTCCTGTGGGTGGGACTGGGAAAATCCAAACTCTCCCACCTGTACAGCAGCCACCCAGGCCTTGTTGTGATTTCCCCCAAAACTTTGTACCAAAGCAGGTTTGGGAAAGATTATAGAAAAGCCCGGGAAACTCCCAGAAGTGCACAAATGTACAGTGATGCTATGAGGAAGCAGGGAGGGAAAACACTTCCCAACAGCACTGAAACTGGGGCAAATGACCCATGTGGAAATGGTTGTGTTCAGTAATCCCTCTAAGCTCTGGAGTCTTGTGAGCAAAAATCCTACTTTGTGAGCTACTGGCATTAAAGTTGTGAGCGAGCGATTTGGCTAAATGCATAAATCAGCTTGCTCTGGAGCCCTCCTTCCTGAGCTAAGACAAAAATGTGTGAGCTGGAGGCTAAAAAACTGTGAGCTAGCTCACGCCAACTCAGAGGGAACAGTGGTTGTGTTGCCAGCTCTGGGTTGAGAAGTACCTGGAGATTTGGGGGAGGGGAGGGACTTCTATCGGGTATAATGCCATAGAGTCCACCTTCCAAAGCTGCCATTTTCTCCAGGTGAACTGAAGTTGGCAACCCTAGAAAAAGGTCAGTGTCTCTGTGCATGTACAGAGTGGCTTTCCTCCTCTGATAGAGAACCGTACAACTGCAGTGTGCCCTCTCTCTCTGAGTGGATTCCATCTCTTGGTTCACAGGATTTTGTAGGAAGTAGGAAATTTAAGACCACACTCTCTTCTGACCAAGAAGATAGATTGAGGTGGGTAGCCCTGTTGGTCTGTGTCCTGTGGCACCTTTAAGACCAACAAAGTTTATTTCTGGGTATAAGCTTTCACGTGCCTGCACAAGTGTTAACAACTGGTTAAGCTAGGGGCAGGGTGAGAAATCTTTGTCTATAAATCCTGAGTAATAATGATGATTTGTTATTTAAAGATGGAATCCCTGAAGTAATACATCTCTGCAAATGCTGTCAGGATTTCATGTGTCAGTTTACTTTCCCATTGCTCTCTAAGAGGAGGGGAAAAGCCCTCCTTTGGAATGCAAATGCCTTCCAGGCTGGTCTCTCTGGCTTTATTGGAAGGAAGCAGGAAGAGACGGCTGGCGCGGACCACTCCCATCTCTCGTTTTCTGTCGATTGTTTTCTTCTTCTTGAAGAGGGTTTTCAAATTTCTCATCCCTGTTGCTTCCACTCAAAACATCCGTCTTCCGATTATGCATTTCCCTCGTGCGACTGAACTTGCCAGATTTTATTTCCACATCCTTTTTCATTTCCTTCACCAAATCTGTCGCTCTTTAAAAGCTGTTTGTATGATAGTAAGTCAGCAGGGTGAGGAAAAGTGGCCTGTAGTGTGCAAATGACCTGGCGTTGGGTCCTGCGGATCTTGTGTCTCTAGCAGCAGCATCAGAAGACACTGGATTTGTACCCTGCCCTTCACTACCTGAAGGAGTCTCAGAGCGGCTTACAATCTCCTTCCCCCTCCCCACAACAGACACCCTGTAAGGTAGGTGGGGCTGAGAGAGCTCTTTCGAGAACTGCCCTTGAGAGAACAGCTCTGAAAGAACTTGTGACTGACCCAAGGTCACACCAGCAGCTGCATGTGGAGGAGTGGGGAATCAAACCCCGTTCTCCCAGATTAGAGTCCGTGCTCCTAACCGCTACACCAGACTGGCTCTAGCAGAGGCATTTTTCTCTGGCAGGCGGGGAGAGCTGCTGACTCCAGGTTGGGAAATGCCTAGAGATTTAGGGGTGGAAGGGAAGGGCGGGGCAGGGCTTGGGGAGGGGCCCCTTCGGTGGGGTATAATGCCACAGAGAGTCCACCCTCCAAAGCAACCATCTTCTCCAGGGGAGCTGAGCTCTGTTGGCTGGAGATCACCGGGAGATCCCCAGGCCCCACCTGGAGGATGGCGTCCCTTTGCCAGGAGAAAGGGCTCCCTCCTGCCAGAGGAAAGGACCTCCACTTGCAGAATGGGGCAGAGGACCTACCCCACCCATTGCAGGGAAGCAGAGGTGCCAGCCTCCAGGTGGGACCTGGGGATCCCCAGAAATTACAGCTCATCTCCACACCACAGAGATCAGTTCCCTTGGAGGAAACGGATGCTCCGGGAGGGTGGGCTCTCTGGCATTGTGCCCCACTGAAGCCCTTGTTCTCCCCAGGCTCTGCCCCCCAAATCTCCTGGAGTTTCCCAGCCTGGATCTGGCAACCCTTCCCCACCCCCTCTGCCAGTGGCCGGAGGGAACCGGGCAACCCTAGGAAGGAATGGGAGGAAGCCCTTTTGCCAGCTTTCCCACATCTTCTGCTGAGAACCAGCCTTTCTTTCCCTTCCTGTGTCAGCTCTTCACTTCCTCCAGCCTGGGTGTGGCCACAGCTGTGACCCAAAAGGGCTCTGGGTGGTCCGACCCTCGCTGCCTGCCTGTGTCTTCCGACAAACCAGCGGGATCCATCCCAGCCCAAGCTGTGATTTACTTACTTACTTATTAAATTAGATTTATTAGGCCACCCTTCCCTGGAAGCGGACTCAGGGCGGCTTACAACGAAACAGTATACAAATCACCATTTAGAACTAAATCAATATAATCCAGTAATTACCAATAAATAGAAACACCATGCATACAGTATATAGGATGGCGGAAGGAATTCCAGCTCCCCAGCCTCGTGGGTTGTTTTTTGTTTTAAGAGGGACGGGGAATTCTGTAAGAGTGCCAAAGGGTGCCCCGTCGCTGTCCTCAACCGAAGGCCTGGTGGAACATTATGCCTTGTGGAAAGGCAACAACTCCTGTAGGGCACGCATGTCTTCCGGCAGAGGTGCTGTCTGCTCACTGCTCCCCCCCCTTTGTATTCTCCTCCCATTGTTAGGGAAAAATGTCGGGTATAAGTACTGTTGCTGTTGTTGAGCCACACAGTTGCATCCGTCTCTTTGTGACCCCATGGACCACATCACGCCAGGCTCTCCTGTCTCCCGTCCTCCAGTTTGCTCAATTTCATGTTCCTTGCATTGATAACACTGTCTGATCATCTCATCTTTTGCCATCCCCGTCTTCTTTGACCTTCAATCTTTCCCAGCATCAGGGTCTTCTCCAGTGAGGGCCCCCTTCTCATTGGGTGGCCAAAGTATCTGAGCTTCGGCTTCAGTCTCTGGCCTTCCAGGGAACAGTCAGAGTTGATTTCTTTCAGGATTGACTGACCTGATCTCCTTGCAGTCCAAGGGACTCTCAAGGGTCTTCTCCAGCACCATAATTCGAAAGCATCTATTATTTGGCCTTTCTTAGGGTCCAACTCTCGCAGCCACACATTACTACTGGGAATACCATTGCTTTGACTATGCGGACTTTTGTTGGCAGGGTGATGTACTGAAGCACGTATAAACGTGGCATCACTTGCGCATCAGCACCCTACAAATGTGCATGCACCCAGGCCACCGTGGAAAAGAAGCTCCGACGAGAGAGCAACGGTGATGAAATGGAAAGGGGGGAACGCAGGCTGCCCTCTAGTTGTGCCCTGGCGACCCGCAGCCCTCCCGCCCACATCCCGGCCCCTGAGTAGTACCGCCTGCCGCTTGGCTTGCCCGCTTTCTCTCCTCCCTCTCCTTGCCCGTCGCCCCGTCCCTCGGCGGCCAGCTGCAGTCCTCTCCCGCGATCCAGGCCGAGGTTTCGCGGCGGCCGCGCGGCACGGTCGGCTGGCGGCGGGCCCCTTATTTGCTCAAGGGCTGAGTAATGCCAGGCGTCTGGAGCGCCCCCGCGGGCAGCTGGGGCCGGCGTCTCGCTCCCCTTCGGCGGACGGGCGACAGCGCCGGGAGACTCCTGCCTGCCGCAGCTGCTGCAGAGGCTGAGGTGAGCGGCTGCCCCTTGGCTCTTGCTTCCCCCAAACTTCACTTCGGGGCGGCCCCCCCTTCCCAAATAAGACGCCATCCGCTCTCAGATTGAATTCGCGCCCAGTCCTGAGTCTTTTTTTAAAAGATCCTGGAAGGGGAGATACTTTTTTGTTTTTTTTGGGGGGGTGTGTCATTTTTATTTTTAATGCGTTTGTCCAGCTCGGGAAGTTGCTCGTGGTCTGAAAACCCCGCTCTGCTAGCCGGCGAGCCGGTCGGGGAAACGGCGCGCCTCCTGTCCACGCAGGCGCCGTTGGGGACCGGCACCCGCGGGGTATAAATCCCATCTCTTCCTCCTCCTCGTCTTCTCTTTTTAATTTCTGCTGCAGGCTCGGGGACGTGCGGGGGAGCACCGGGCAAGGAGGGATCCTAGCGACAGAGCTGCGTCCCACACTCTGATCTGGAGTCGTGCGTCTTTTTAACTGTTTGCATTACAATGGGTTGCACGTCCGGTCCTACCATTACAGAATGGTTGTTCTTTTTAGGGTATTGCCATTTTTAAAACCCTCTTGTTTCCTCCGAGGAGCTCTGGGTGGCACACAGGGTACTCTCTAGTCTCTTCTGCTGTTTTACCCGGCCTGGAAGGGTTGCCAGGTCCCCCTTGGCCACCGGTGGGGGGATGGGGAATAGGGTTGCCAGATCCAGGTAGGGAAACGCCTGGGAGATTTGGGGGTGGAGGCTGGGGAAGCCAGGAACACCGATTGGATACAGTGCCAGAGAGTCCGCCCTCCAAAACATCCATTTTTGTCCTCAGGGGAACTGCTTTCTCTAGTCTGGAGATGAGCTGAAATCCCAGGGGATCCCCAGGCCCCTCCTGGAGGCTGGCATCCCTATGGAATCTTGTGAGGGCAGGCCATGTTGAAAGTGACTGGCCCAAGGCCTCCTAGTGAGCTTCATGGCTGAGTGGGAATTTGAACCCAGGTCTTCCCGGCCTCCGTTTTATTCATCTAACAACCTTGTGAAGTAGGTAAGGCTGAGAGAGAGATACAGGCCCCGGATTACCCAGTGCCTGAGAAGTATTTGAGGAAGTGTGCGTGCACATGAAAGTTCATACCTTAAATAAAATTTTGTTGGTCTTAAAGGTGCCCCGCTGGACTCCAACTTTGTTCTGCTGCTTCAGACCAGCACGGCTGACCACCTGGACCAGTGCCTGAGAGAAAGTGCTTGTGTATCTGGGGGATGTCTTTAGAGCTATTCATCTTCTGTGCTTCTGAATGAGTTAACGTTCTGAGTGCAGGTCATTGCGCCGTGCCTGTGCATCAGGTGTTATTAGATTGTTCGGTTGCAGAGATGTGACAGAAATGCCTTCCCCTAAGTGAAGGCTGACCGGAAGAAGCACGGTGACTCATACAGGGATGCAGCAGGCACCCTCCTCAGCTGATGGGTCATTCCAAGCTGCAGGTGCCTTTTAAGTTTTTGGATCAAAGTCACACAGCATTGTGCTCCATCACCCTTCTTCACAGTGTTGTTATAGGAATAAAAGGGAGGCCGGGGGCACTAAGTATGCCGCCCTCAGCTGTGTGAAGGTAAGACAGGATAAAAATAATGATTGCCAGAGTATTTTATGAGCCATTGTGGGGTGTAGTTAGCATGTCAGGTGGAAACCAGGATGAGCCGGGTTCAAATTCCCACGCAGCCACAAGGCTCGCTGGGAGGCCACACAGTTTTGGTCGGAACACGTGAAAGCCAAGGTCAAAAAAGTGGAATTTTCAGACTGAATCTTGTCTGGCCACAAAATTCAGTCCTGTCCCTGAGAGGGAGGGCCCTCCCCCATTATCCGGACTTAGTTTGGAGTTCCACTGCAGATGCATTGAGAACTGGACATGTTCTATATAGCAGAAGCTTCTCCTGGCGCCTGGAGGTTTCTCCAGCTCAGTTGGCAAACAGTTGGCCTCGTTAGTCTCAAGGCTATTGTTGAAGAAACCAGATGAGGGCTTGCTCTCTAATTGGCTGTCTTCACAAATTGACTTTCTCCCTATCTTAACGTTTGTCACACTGATCCACCAGTGCTCTGACTTGATCACTTGCAATTTCTTTCTGAGCTCTTCACTCGGGGCAACCTCGCTTCCCGGCTTGGGGTCTCTCATTGGGGTCACATTTTTTTAGCAGAGTGGATGTCGGGTTGCAGTTTGGGGTTAGGAAAAATCTAAGTAAACAGTCATTTTCCCTCTCGTTCAGTTTTCCACTTCATAAAACAGGCTGCAAAGCAGTCGAGAGGTCTGTTGGATTGGATTAGCTGGTTGTGTAGAACAGCGTGGAACACTGTTTTCAGTGTTGTGCAGAACAGTGTTTTCAAATGGGATAAAATGTTTGCTGTTGCTCTAAAGCTTTCCACCTAAGTGAAGCAGCTGGCAACGTAAAAGCAGAATGAACTAGCGAAACACAGTGTTTGAAGACTCATGCTTCAGGTATCCCATGACAATGGATTTTGCGTCTTCCGCCCCATAGACAAGTGTGGGCGGTCGAAGAGGCATTTGCAAGAGAATCCTTGAGTTCTTTTGTGAATGCCCGCACCAAATTTCATTCCAATATGTCACCGCACAAGGGAGACATTGTGTTGCGGGTCTGTGAATGTCAGCAGTCTAAATAAGACTCAGGTCCGGTTCGCGAACTGGAGTGGGAGAGACCTGAGTTGGCAGAATGGACTGTACCACTCAGATTGCAGGTGAAGGATCGCTGCGGGTGCTGCTGCTCCCCTCGATTAGGACCTTGCTGGGGGGAAAAAGAATTGGCACAGCAAGTCAAGGGAAGGGGAACAGAAGCTGTCTCCCTGCCGTTGCTAGTGTTCTGTTTGCCAAGACCTGGGGTGTCGAACTCATTTGTTATGAGGGCCGGATCTGACATAAATATCACTTTGTTGGGCCAGGCCACGTGTGTCATACAATGTAATGCCAGGTAGCGGAGATATAAACTTTATAAACGACACAAACACAAAGGGTTTTTTTTTTTACTTAAAAACATAAAACATTAGCACTCTTGCAATATCTTGTTTATTTAACAGTGCCTGATAATGGACACCTCTTGCTCTGAGTTATTGCATCAAAATGTCTGTGCTGTTGCAGTCTCAAGTATGCTGTTCAGGTGTGCATCTGTAAGCTGCAAACCTACGATGACGCAGCAGCAGCAGAACTGGAAGCAGCAGCAGAAGACAGCCAGTTCCTCTGCGGGCCTGATAGAAGCCCTCCGGGGGCCTGATCCAGCCCCCAGGCTGCATGTTTGACACCCCTGGCTTTAGATGCTTTGGTCCTTAATTAAGAAATATTCAAAGCTAAAGGGGTACAGTCCAGTAGCCTGCTTCTGGGCTTTGTCACCCCCATGCCCATATGTGTGAAGCAAGCCCAAGTATTAGAAACAGAAGGACCAAGGGGCAAAGTCATTTATTTATTTATTTATCAATCCAAATTTCTAAACCACCCTCCCCCATACTTGGGGCTCAGGATGGTGTACGACTATTCAAGATAGAATTGTCAATAGATTTAAAGTTAAAAACAGTAAAAACAAATACAAAACCCTTCCAGATGGTTATCCTGACTCCAAGGGGGAGTGAAAGGAAGGAAGGCCAGGCTACATGAAGACTGTTGCTGTCCTCAGCCTTCGGCCTGGCAGAACGTCTCTGCCTTTCAGGCCCGATGGAACTGAACAAGGTCCCGCAGGGCACAGATGTTTTCACTCTGCCTTTCAGGCCCGATGGAACTGAACGACGTCCCGCAGGGCACGGATGTCATTCGCAGAGAGTTCCAACAGGTCAGAGCCAACGCCGAAAAAGTTTGGGCTTCGGTTGAGGACAGCCGTTTGTTTTTTAAAGGCCAGGCATCTCCAGTAGATTTTTTTTCTCCGCTGAGCGCAGTGCGTTTTTTTGGGTATAACAGGAGAGATGGTCCCGAAGGTATGTTGGTCCCAGACCGTTTAGGGCCTTGAAGGTTAATACCAGAACCTTGAACCTGATTCGGTATTCAACCTGGATGCAGTTCAGCTGGCAAAGCACCAGTTAGATATGTGCGGTTAGTGGGGTTCCGGTGAGAACCCGAGCTGCCGCTTTCTGGACCAGTTGCAACTTCTGGGTCAGTCTCAAGGGTAGGCCAGTGTAGAGCGAGTTACAGTAGTCTAACCTAGAGGTGACCGTTTCATGGATTACTGTGGCTAGGTCAGGGAGAGACAGGAAGTGGGCCAGTTTCCTTACTTGGCGCAGCTGAAGAAACGCCAGTCTGGCAACATTTGTGATCTCGACCCTCAATCGATAGGGAGGCATCTAACACACCCAGGCTCTTAATCTATTTATGATCGTACCTTGAAGGTTGTACACCATCAAGAGACAGGAGTTGTCACCCCAATCCTGAATCCCCCCCCCGCCATAGAACCTCCATCTTGGATGGATTTAGTCTCAGCCATCTCTGCTTCAACCATCCAACCCCAGCCCCAGATTTTTTGGGGCGGTGTCTGGCCACCAGTCTATCAGCAGACACAGCTAGGTATCATGTAGGGCAAAAGGGCCATACTGCTATTGCAAACTCTGTGTAGTATGAAGTTTAATTCCAGTGGCACCTTTAAAAACAACAAAGTTTCATTCTGGGCAGGGGTCGTTTCCTGCGGGGGCGCACAGGAGCAGAGCTCTGGAAGTAGGGAGCCCAGGGGGCAGGCACATGCAACAAGCCCCACCCCCTGCTCCCAGCAGCCCTCAGTTGGGCCACAAGGAGCAAAAAGCAGCCAGGTAAGGTGCAGGGCCCCCCCCCCCGGCCCACCTTCAGGTAAAAACTGTCCCTCCTCTGTGAGGGCAGATCTGCGTGTCCCCCCCCCCTAGCTAGCAGTCCAAAACAGTCCAGTGGCACCTTTAAGACCAGGTTTTATTCAGGTACAAGCTCTCCCTCCTCTGTGAGGACAGATCTGCATGTCCCCGTCCCCCCCAATAGCTAGCAATCCAAAACAGTCCAGTGGAGCCTGAGTGGTGGCTGTTGCCTTCTGACACACTTCCAGTGATGTCAGGTGGTGTGCAATATGCAAATAAGGTATGCTAATAAGTTATGCTAATGAGCTCCTGGACCTCTTTTTCTACAAAATGACCCCTGATTCTTTGTATAAGTTTTTGTGTGCATGCACACTTCTTATACCCAGAATTGAACTTTGTTGGTCTTAAAGGTGCCACTGGACTCAATCTTTGTTCTGTTGCTTCTAAAGCAGTGTGCATGCACACAAAAGTTTATAACCAGAATTAAAATTTGTTGGTTTTGAGAAAGAAGAGAGTGGATTTATACCCGCCCCTCACTTGGAGTCTCAGAGCGGCTTACAAACTCCTTTTCTTTCCCCTCCCCACAACAGACACCCTGTGAGGCAGGTGGGGCTGAGAGAGCTCTTTCAAGGACTGCTCTTGAGAGAACGGCTCTGAAAGAACTTGTGACTGACCCAAGGTCACACCAGCAGTTGCATGTGGAGGAGTGGGGGATCAAACCCAGTTCTTCCAGTTTAGAGTCCACGCTCCTAACCGCTACCACCAAACTTAAAGGTGCCGCTGGACTCAAACTTTATTCTATTGCTTCAGACCAAGCCCGCTAACCACCTGAATCTGTGTAGCAGAATCTTGTCATTACTGAAGAATGAGCATCACTGATACGTTCATTAGGTTAAGAGGGAAAATCCCCTTATCCATTCTGTTCATGCTCAGATGCACGTTATTCATTCTGAGCTTGTGAAATAGCCTTGGAGTGTATGTGCATATGTGTATATGTGTGTGTGTGTGTGTGTGTATGGTTAAGCGGTGGCTCAAGTGGTTACGATGCTGAACTGCAGGCTGTGGAAGGTCGGTAGTTCAGCAGTTCGAGCCCCAAGTGCTGCATGACGGAGTGAGCTCCCGTCTCTAGTTCCAGCTCCTGCCAACCTAGCAGTTTGAAAGCAAGGAACTGCAAGTAGCTAAATAGTTACCACTTCAGTGGGAAGGTAACAGCCTTCCGTGCACCTTGGTGTTTAGTCATGCCGGTCACATCATGACTATTACTATTATTTATAAGGTGTATATATATATATATACACACACACACATACACACACCTTATAAATAATATATATATCTCCCTTATAAATAATAGCCGAATGGTGGTGGCACTTCTCTAGAACATTCCACACGCTCCAAAATCAGTTTGCTCTCTGATCTGTCATTCAGAGGGTCTCCGTATCCACTGGCTGTATTGCTTGAGTCCTGCCTCCAACATTCTAAAGTTTGCTGTTCCTCTCCCCCCCATAGCCAGTCAGAACACAGAGGTTATTTGCATATGCAGCCTCATTGGCCTTTGCCTCGGAACACAGAGGTCGTTTGCATATGCGACTTGATTGGCTTTTGCCTCTAACATTCTAAACAGTTTGCTGTTCTGAGGTAAAATGTGTCCAATCTCCAGGTGAGGGCTGGAAATCACTCAGAATTACAACTGCTTTCCAGATGGCAGAGATCAGTTCCCCTGGAGAAAATGGTGGGATCTATATCCTTATATGCTGCTGAGGGGGCGACCGTATGACAGCCAATATGATGTAGCAGTCAGGGCTTCAGAGCACGAGAGAGGCTGCAGGTGTGTGGGAAGTGGAAAGCTGAAGAGTGAGGGGGAAATAAAGGTAGGTTGATGATTGGCTGGGAAG